TTTTTTTTTAACCAAATGCTACCCAGATGATTCTTATGTGGTCCAGGGTTGAGATCACTATGAAAAACTGCACTAGACAACATTAGTGAGAGAGAAACACGATATAAAGTATTGAACATTTTAAGCAGCAAAACCAGTAAAGAAGAAAACAAAACTTCTCATATCACTTTTTCTAAATAAACAACACGGAAAATAAAGAGGTGTTAGTACACTACAAAAACTCCTCATTTACCTGTTAATCAGATTTCCATTAGCCTCAATGTTTTGGAACCTAGCCAAAAAACAAGAAAGAAGCAACCAAGCTTTTGAGTACTGTGGAAAATGGCTATTGTGATGTCTATGTCCCCAGAAAAGAAATGTAGTTCTCCTTCAAAGGAGCTTAATATTGGGTTTACCGTAACAATTTATGTGATTTCAGAAAGTAGGTTATCTTGATCTTTCAATTGAATTAAGTTCTTCACAGAGAGCAGATTTCATGCATGTTTGTGGTGAAAGGAGGTGTGGCTGTAAGGATACCACGGGCACTCAAGCGGAGGGGCAGGGGGGAAAGCATTCCCTAGCAACATGGCACCCTTCCGGGTTCTTCTCCACAGTAAACAAGCCTGCCGGGGCCAACACCCAAGCCCACCTGTGCCAAACCTCAGCCAATCACAGGTCAAGGCTCACTTCCTGCCCAGCCCCGTCCAATCAGCTACCTCCCCGTCCACCCCCTATCCAAACCCAGAACGCAGCTCCCTATAAATGCACGTGCAGTCCTTGAATAAAGCGAACTTCTCTGGCAAACTATTAGCCCGGGTCTCGCGTGATTCCTTCGTCCGTGTGCCCCTTCAGTGGCCATAGGGAAATAAATTACTAGAAAGAGACATACTGATGCTGGTAGCTNAAGCCCACCTGTGCCAAACCTCAGCCAATCACAGGTCAAGGCTCACTTCCTGCCCAGCCCCATCCAATCAGCTACCTCCCCGTCCACCCCCTATCCAAACCCAGAACGCAGCTCCCTATAAATGCACGCGCAGTCCTTGAATAAAGCGAACTTCTCTGGCAAACTATTAGCCCGGGTCTCGCGTGATTCCTTCGTCCGTGCGCCCCTTCAGTGGCCATAGGGAAATAAATTACTAGAAAGAGACATACTGATGCTGGTAGCTGATTTAAAAGGTGGCAGTAATGGAAATACCGATTAGAGAATCACTGCAGACCAAGGGAAACTGATGTAGGGCATTTGCTCCTGGATAGTTCAAGTGCTCCTAGGAATTAGTTCATCAAGATTCCACAAAAAGAATAAGAAAAATTTAAATTGCATTCACTATAATATAAAGCAAGTGAAAACCTTCTACAATGTAGCAAAACAATAAAAAATTTAATAATGTTGGAAAAAATAGCACTTAAATGGATAAATATTAGTTTTCTTAGGATATCCTTCATCAGAACGTCATTATTACAAATAATATCTGATGATAAGTGAACAACTATATCTCTTTTACTGTTTAAGGTATATGCTTATGTTTACTTCAGTACCTGATATGATATAAAATAGGAGAAACTAAATAAATATGAGAAATGCTACTATTACTCAGAATACAGGTTTACATAGATCAGGAGTCAGAAGCTATGGCCTGTGAGCCAAATTTGGCCAGCAGCCTGTTCTTGTAAATAAACTTTTACTGGAACATAGGCAAGCTTATTTATTTGCATATTGTATATAGCTGCTTTCTTGCTATAAAGGCAGAGTAATTGTGACAGAGTACACTGTATGCAAAGCCAAAAATATTAATATTCTGAGATTTTACAGAAAAGTTTAGACCTCTGCTGTAGAACATGTCATTTTTGATGGGAGAATGTGGATGGTGGTTTTTCTTTTTCTTTTTTTTTTTTT